GAAAAGATAAAACGTGTTGTGTGTGCAACAAAGGTATACCCCAAACCTCTAAGATAAAAAAGGTCTTTTTGTTAAAACATATGAATATGGCATTTAATGGATTTTTACTCCTTGTCTTGAATTAAGATCTAACTTTTGTGACAGCTCAAACATTGCCCTTGTTTCTGCAGGCTTGAAAGTGAGTCACCAGAAAGCATAGTTTTTCAGTGATCTCAATGGGTAAATTTTCTGGAGAAGTGACATCATGAAGTAACAGTTGTACCCTCATTCACACAGCATCATTCAGAATTAACTTATCAGATTGGCCCGTAACTGCAATAAAGGCACTTATGTGGTGCTTGGATTCCATTACTTTGTTTGCGTGTAGATCCTTCAGTTAACTACTTGGTAACAAGGACTCTACTCCAAGTGATCCCCAGATATGGTCACAAAGGCATGTTAATCTCATTATTTCTCTTACTAAGTACAAACCTTGGCCCAACAGTAAAGTTCTCACTGTTTCTCAGGTGCTCTGAGGTGCACCTCAAAAGAGAGGTGGTATATTTCAGTAGGCTTTGGGATCATATTTATCTTTGTTTATTTTGGCTTTTTTTAAGAAGGCAAAGAAGGGTGATATTAGGGCAGAGGTGGCAGTACACGACTCCTCTTCAAGATGCCTTCTGGTATACAGGGAATTTACCCTAACTTTTGTGTGGAATGTAGTCATCCAGTTCTAAATTGAAGTGATTTCAGTGATAGTAAAGCTCCAACAAATACAAACTTTATCTGAATGCAAATAATTGTCATGGTCTGTATTCTTTGCGCATCTGAGATTCCACATCAGGACAATAGTGTCTGCTAATTTTGGCCAATCTGCTCTATTCTTTATCTCAGATAATGGTGTCATTATCTATCCAGGCTCTTGAGCTGAAACCACAGAGGAATCTTCTACTATTCATCCTTCTTCACTTCACATATCAATACAGGTACCATCCTTGTCCTCAGAAATGCTTGTGAAACCCCCTCCAATTTGCCACTGCCGAGCTCAGGCTCTCATTTTCTAGATTACTTTGAGTGACTCCTACATTTGTCATACAAGACCTTTCACAATCTGACCCCAATGAATACCACCATTGCTCATTACATATGACCATATGTATCAATTACATAAAACTTTAATTCCATAAACACATACTGAGAATTTATATGTGAAGAACAGTAGATTAAATTTTAGGAGTACTAAGATTAAATCACATATGTTCACACTATGGTGGTAAAAAGCAATCATAAATCAATAATCTATCTAAGTGTATACTATATCATATAACAAAGGCAGTGCAAGACAGAGAAGTGGACAAAGGAAGCAAGGGAACATTTTCCTTGTCATGAAGCAGTGAAGTTCACAGAGAAAGACGTATTTGAATAGAAAATGGAATGATTGTAGGGTGAATAAGACTTAGCAAGGCAGACATGGAGAATGAGAGAAGTCCTGATAGAGAGGAATTCCCAGACTATGAAACCTGATACCTTTGGGGAAAGGTATATCATTCGTCATTGTTAGAGCACAAAAGGGAGAAGTCAGAAATACAACTGGTAAATGAAGAAGAAATTTGATTAAGTAAGGCCTTAAATGTTTTCTAAGGGGCTAAGCCATTGAAACTTAGCTCCACAGACATTGAGGGGCTATGATGCCTTATAAGCAAGACAGTATCGGAGGATTTTGTAGTTTTATGATTCCTTGGTAATAGATTCTATGAAAGTCATCAAGCCTGGAGGTTGAAATGCCAGTGAGGAAACCATGGTTCTGGTCTAGCTTTGGGAAGATGAAGGTTGTCATATTGGAGGTCAAACAAAAGAAATGGATGATTGGAACATTAAAGAGGTTGCCTGGGCATGGTGACTCATGCCTGTAACCCCAGCACTTTAGGAGGCAGAGACAGGTGAATCACTTGAGGTCAGGAGTTTGAGACCAGCCTGGCCAACATGGTGAAATGCTGTCTCTAATACAAAAAAAAAAAAGAAAAAGAAAATTAGCAGGGCATGGTGGTGCACACCTGTAATCCCAGCTGCTCAGGAGGCTGAGGCAAGAGAATTGCTTGAACATGGGAGGTGGAGGTTGCAGTGAGTGGAGATCGCACCACTGCCCTCCAGCCTGGACAATAGAGTCAGACTGTGTCTCAAAAAAATAATAATAATAAATAGTTTTTTTAAAAAGAGGTTGACCAACCAAGTGTAGAGGCTTATTACAATGAGAAGTTAAAGCATGACGGTCTGCTTTAAACTCTAAGTTTCTAGACTCTGTAACAAGGTGACGCGTTCTCACTGACCAAGACTGCCAATGCCAGTAAGGGGACCTGTGCAGGAGGGGTAGAGAAGCTCACTTGGACTCTCCTGTTTTTCAATTTCTGTTAGACATCTGGGAGGAAAGGCCAAGGGACAGCCGGATGTCTCTGTTCACCATGACTACCACAGCTTGAGGATAATTGCCCTATTGGGGTTACTCTGCAAAGTCACTGAGGAAGTGCATGCCATGCTTACCGTTATCAGTTAATCAAGTGATTTTAGGCAAGTTTCTTCATCTTTACCCAGTGCCTTCACATTAAGTAATCTCTGCCACTCTGTACCTGTCATAAACTGTGATTTAGGCTGAGGTTTTGTAGCTAGGCCAGGCTCTATAGGCAAATATTACTCGGTATGTATGTGAATAAACACTTACAAGATCAAAAATACCTAAACTCTGTTATGAATGAAGTTTTACCTAGATTCCCTGGTGCTGTAGTTGATAGTCACAGCATAAGATGATAGAATTGTACCTGCCATATAATTTGCACTTTTAAAATATAATTAAATTAACATTTCAATGAAAAATACATTTCTTTAACATTGCAACAGTGACTATTAAAAACAGTCAGTGGTAGAATAGATATTAAATTTTGCTTCATTAACAGAAAATAAAAGGAAATTAATAAAGTGATTCTCTTACTCTTATCCTTCCTCATGTGAATTTTCACTATTTGTAAGCAGCAACAATATAGGCTTTTCTTAGCAACAACAGTTACTGCCATTGAATATATTTTATGATTACTTTACAAACTAAAATTATTCCAAAGTGATACATTTATTAATTTAAATATGATCATTTTTCTTTGTTTTGTCATCCCCTGATACACACAAGGTCTACAAGGGTATATTTTTCTAAGTTTATTTAAGTGTAAGTAGCCAAATTGTTAGGGTCCACACATGGAACCAATGATACCATAAAGTGAATGCTGTTTTCTACAATTGGTTCATGATTTATTTTGCATGGTGAGTAAAATTATTCTTTCCTTTTTATTTTATAAAAGTATCCTCATTAATATAAAGGCAAACACACCCTTTTGTATGTAAGAAGCTTAATATTCCTAATTAGAGTTGGTATTTGAAACGAACCAAAAAACAAAATTTTATGTACAAGTCAGATTTGCTTTGAAAACTTAATTACAATGTGCTCCATTATCTAAAAGCTTATTTTTATACATTTTGCTTGGATTCTTTCTCTTACGTGTTTGGCTCCAGGTTCTTTTTACAATACCTGACACTCCTATACAAGTCTATTCTTGACAGTATTGATTGCCTCTAAGCACTTACCTATTACACTGTTTTTTTTTTCTGCCTAGAGATGATTTTCTCTTTCTTCTAGTCTAGGTTTTACTTGGATCACTGCTTAGAGACCTTCACATTTGCTTCTTCCTGCTTTCTCCCTCCTGGCAAGTCTCCTCTTTCACACATGGAAGGCCATGTGTGTCTACACTGTGTCTCCCACTTCATCAGACTTTATATTCCAGTAGCCCGTTTTGCATCTGCACTTTATAACTAAATTTCCTATCTATAGGAATGAATGGCAAGTTTGTAGTTCATTTGGTTTTTCTGATACCCAATGACTAGGATTACATTAAGTAATAAAAATTTTTATTATCAAATTTAATGAACAGAAAACAATATCATGAATGTCAAGCAAAGGTTTGGTAGATGGATCAGACAAGACTCATTGTTTGATATAAAATTCTTATTGCTTTCAAAGTCTTTCTTCTGATTTTTCAAAGCTGAAGATATAGAGGAGCTTTAAGATTCCATCCCATGGCCTCAGCAGAAGGCTAATTTTCAGGCTCTTGTTCCACCATGATGAAAATTCAACAGAAATAGTCAATTTCTCACTGTACTATTAACTGATATTAGTTAATAATGTTAAAATAATAAATATTAAATACTTATTAAAATGATATTATTTAAATAAAATAAATATTTAAATATGTTTATAGATTTTTATAGATAAATCTACTTTATCTATAAAAATAGATAAAACAGTTATAATGAGCTAATAAATAATTCACTTATTATTTATTTTGTTTTACATTGCTTAGGTTTTTCTCTGGGGATCAAGGAGAAATTGGAAGCTAGGAAACAACTAAAGAAACGAAACAACGAAAACCACCTAAACTATAACGAATATAGTATTGTTTCAACTCAGATGAATTTTGTATGACCTCATTCACAAAGCAATTATCACAATACAGTAAATTTAAAGTTGAAAATAACAATTATTGGCAAATATATCACAGTTATTTTGGCAAAAAGTTGACAAATTTTGGGTGACACATGAATGCTATTTTTTATTGTTGAATAATTCAATTTTTAAGAAATAATCTTTTTTTTTCAGTCCTAACCACTGTGTGAATTATTTCAGGAGACCAAAATCTAGAAGAGAGTAAAAAACATATTTAGAAAAGAATGATGCAGTGTTAAGTGCAATTCAATGATCTGTATAAGCTCCTGCATGCACCAATACCAAACCAATACACAATGAATTGGAGATCTACACTTAAGAGTTAAACTACAAAACTCTTAGAAAAAACATGCATATGAATGCTGGGAAGATGGCCACCTAAGAACAGCTCAGGACTTCAGCTCCCAGTGAAAGTGCAGAGGGTGAGTGGACGCCGCATTTCCAGACGAACTTTTATTGCCCACAGACCAGGAGATACCCAGGCAGAGGGGTCGCCAGCGTCGCAGTCCCAGCCGGTGCGGCTGTTTTGGCCCCCGCGGGGCTGATTCCGCCCGCGCGGCTGCTGTGACCACTCCCTGTTGCTGCGGTTCTCCGTACAAAAGCCAATGGTCTGGGAGCCCTCTTAGCTGGCGAGCAGAGCCCTGAGACGGCAGAGTTGCCCATTCATCTGAAATAGCGAGTCAGGCCAGGAGATTCCTAGGCAAAAAATTCGCCAGGAGCCGGCGCCACAGTTCGAGCCGACTCCGTGAGTCGCAGCATGGGAGATCCCGGCGCCTTTTCAACAAGCGACCGGAACGCGGGGCCGTTCAACTTAAAAGAAAAGACTCTGAGTCAGGGAGCCAGGTGATCAGGCTTGGTTGGTCCCACCCCTCCACCCCCAACAACAACGAAAACAAAAACAGTAATTGGAAACCCTCTGGGTTGAGCCCTCCAAACCAAGCACAGCTGAACCGGGACGGTCCGGCTCCGTGGGGGAGGGGCTTCCGCCATTACTGAGACTCTCCACCGCTACGGAGGCAGGCTGCCGTTGCCGAGGCAACCCGCCATTGCCAAGGCAACCTGCCACAACAGAGAGAGTCCACCATAACAGAGGCAGGGCCACCATTGCCGAGACAGTTCTAACTACACCCATATAAAAAGGACTACAGGGAAGAGCTCAGGGCAGCTGGGCAGAGCCCACAGCAGCTCAGCAAAGCCCCTGCGGGCAGGCAGTGGCTAGGTGTGCTGCTAGCTGGGCAGGTCAGACCTGAAAGAAAAAAAAAGGCAGTAGTGCAAGGGAAACTCATAAAGCTCCAACTCCCTGGGACAGAGACAGACAACAGGTGGATAAACCCACAAAAATGGGAAGAAACCAGCGCAAAAAGGGTGAAAACTCCCGAAACCAGAACACCTCTCCTCCTAAAAGGGATCACAACTCCTCACCAGCAAGGGAACCAGACCGGATGCAGAAGGAGGGTGATGAAATGACAGAATCAGACTTCAGAAGGTGGGTAGTAAGAAACTACAATGAGCTAAAAGAACATGTTCTAACCCAACGCAAAGAAAATAGGAACCTTGAAAAAAGATTGGACGAACTGCTGATGAGAATGGACAGCATAGAGAAGAGTATAAGTGAATTGATGGAGCTGAAAAACGCAACACGAGAACTTCGTGAAGCATGCACAAGCTTCAACAGCCGAATAGACCAAGCAGAAGAAAGGATATCAGAGGTCGAAGATCAACTCAATGAAATAAAAAGAGAAGGCAAGAACAGAGAAAAAAGCACAAAAAGGAATGAACAAAATCTTCAAGAAATGTGGGACTATGTGAAAAGACCTAATCTACGTCTGATAGGTGTACCTGAATGTGATGAAGAGAATGAATCCAAGCTGGAAAATATTCTTCAGGATATTATCCAGGAAAACTTCCCCAACCTAGCAAGGCAGACCAATATTCAAATCCAGGAAATACAGAGAACACCACAAAGATATTCCTCAAGAAGAGCAACCCCAAGGCACATAATCGTCAGATTCACCAGAGTTGAAATGAAAGAGAAAATGCTAAGGGCAGCCAGAGAGAAAGGTCGGGTTACCCACAAAGGGAGGCCCATTAGACTCACAGCAGATCTCTCAGCAGAAACACTACAAGCCAGAAGAGATTGGGGGCCAATATTCAACATCCTTAAAGAAAAGAACTTTCAACCCAGAATCTCCTATCCAGCCAAACTAAGCTTCATAAGTGAAGGAAAAATAAAATCCTTTGTGAACAAGCAAGCACTCAGAGATTTCATCACCACCAAACCTGCTCTACAAGAACTCCTGAAAGAGGCCCTACACATATAAAGGAACAACCAGTACCAGCCACTCCAAAAACACACCAAATGGTAAAAGAGCATCAACACAATCAAGAATCTGCATCAACTAACCAACAAAACAGCCAGGTAGCATCAAAATGACAGTATCAAAATCACACATAACAATACTATCCCTAAATGTCAATGGACTAAATGCCCCAATCAAAAGACACAGACTGGCAAATTGGATAAAAAGCCAAAATCCATCAGTATGCTGTATCCAGGAAACCCATCTTACATGCAAGGATACACAAAGGCTCAAAATAAAGAGATGGAGGAAGATCTACCAAGCAAATGGAGAGCAAAAAAAGGCAGGAGTTGCAATTCTCATCTCTGATAAAATAGACTTTAAAGCAACAAAGATCAAAAGAGGCAAAGAAGGACATTACATAATGTTAAAAGGATCAATGCAACAAGAAGAGCTAACGATCCTAAATATATACGCACCCAATACAGGAGCACCCAGACACATAAGGCAAGTTCTTAATGACTTACGAAGAGACTTAGACTCCCACACAATAATAGTGGGAGACTTTAACACCCCATTGTCAATATTAGACAGATCAACCAGACAGAAAATCAACAAGGATATCCAGGACCTGAATACAGACCTGGAACAAGCATACCTAATAGACATTTACAGAACTCTCCACCCCAAATCCACAGAATATACATTCTTCTCAGCACCACATCACACCTACTCTAAAATTGACCACATAATTGGCAATAAATCACTCCTCAGCAAATGCAAAAGAACAGAAATCATAACAAACCGTCTCTCAGACCACAGTGCAATCGAGTTAGAACTCAGAATGCAGAAACTAACTCAGAACCGCACAGCTTCATGGAAACTGAACAACTTGCTCTTGAATGTTGACTGGATAAACAATGAAATGAAGGCAGAAATAAAGATGTTCTTCGAAACCAATGAGAACGAAGACACAACATACCAGAATCTCTGGGACACATTTAAAGCAGTCTCTAGAGGAAAATATATAGCAATGAGTGCCCACATGAGAAGAAAGGAGAGATCTAAAATTGACACCCTATCATCAGAATTGAAAGAGCTAGAGGAGCAAGATCAAAAAATCTCAAAACCTAGCAGAAGACAGGAAATAACTAAGATCAGAGCAGAACTGAAGGAAATAGAGACACAAAAAACTCTTCAAAAAATCAATAAATCCAGGAGCTGATTTTTTGAAAAGATCAACAAAATAGACTGACCACTAGCCAGATTAATAAAAAAGAAAAGAGAGAATAACCAAATTGATGCAATAAAAAACGATAAAGGGGATATCGCCACAGATTCCACAGAAATCCAAACCATCATCAGAGATTATTACAAACAACTCTATGCACATAAACTAGTAAACCTGGAAGAAATGGATAAATTCCTGGACACCTGCATCCTCCCAAGCCTAAACCTGGAAGAAGCCGAAACCCTGAATAGACCAATAACATGGTCTGAAGTCGAGGCAGCAATAAAGAGCCTACCACCCAAAAAAAGCCCAGGTCCAGATGGGTTCACAGCTGAATTCTATCAGACATACAAAGAGGAGCTGATACCATTCCTTCTGAAACTATTCCAGACAATCCAAAAAGAGGGAATCCTTCCCAAATCATTTTATGAGACAAACATCATCCTGATACCAAAACCTGGCAGAGACTCAACAAGAAAAGAAAATTTCAGGCCAATATCCATGATGAACATAGATGCAAAAATCTTCAATAAAATACTGGCAAACCGATTGCAACAGCATATCAAAAAGCTCATCCACCATGATCAAGTAGGATTCATCCCGGGGATGCAAGGCTGGTTCAACATACGCAAGTCCATAAACGTAATTCACCACATAAACAGAACCAAAGACAAAAACCACATGATTATCTCAATTGATGCAGAGAAGGCTTTTGACAAAATTCAACAACCTTTATGCTAAAAACCCTCAATAAACTAGGTATTGACGGAACGTATCTCAAAACAATAAAAGCTATTTACGACAAACCAACAGCCAATATCATACTGAATGGGCAAAAACTGGAAGCATTCCCTTTGAAATCTGGCACTAGACAAGGATGCCCTCTCTCACCACTCCTATTCAATATAGTACTGGAAGTTCTAGCCAGAGCAATCAGGCAAGAAAAGGAAATAAAGGGTATCCAAATTGGAAAGGAGGAAATCAAATTGTCTCTATTTGCAGATGACATGATTGTATATCTGGAGGACCCCATCATCTCAGCCCAAAATCTCCTGAAACTGATAAACAACTTCAGCAAAGTCTCAGGATACAAAATCACCGTGCAAAAATCACAAGCATTCCTATACACCAGTAATAGACTTCAAGAGAGCCAAATCAAGAACGAACTGCCATTCACAATTGCTACAAAGAGAATAAAGTACCTAGGAATACAACTAACAAGGAATGTAAAGGACCTCTTCAAGGAGAACTACAAGCCATTGCTCAACGAAATAAGAGAGGATACAAACAGATGGAGAAACATTCCATGTTCATGGTTAGGAAGAATCAACATCGTGAAAATGGCCATACTGCCCAAAGTAATTTACAGATTCAACACTATTCCCATCAAGCTACCAATGACCTTCTTCACAGAACGGAAAAAGAACACCTTAAACTTCATATGGAAACAAAAGAAAGCCTGCATAGCCAAGTCAATTCTAAGCAAAAAGAACAAAGCGGGAGGCATCACACTACCGGACTTCAAACTATACTACAAGGCTACAGTAATCAAAACAGCATGGTACTGGTACCAAAACAGAGATATAGACCAATGGAACAGAACAGAGGCCTCACAGGAAATACAACATACCCACAACCATCTGATCTTCGACAAACCTGACAAAAACAAGCAATGGGGAAAGGACTCCCTGTTTAATAAATGGTGTTGGGAAAACTGGCTAGCCATGTGCAGAAAGCAGAAACAGGACCCCTTCCTGACACCTTATACCAAAATTAACTCCAGATGGATTAAAGAATTAAACATCAGACCTAATACCATAAAAACCTTAGAAGAAAATCTAGGCAAAACCATTCAGGACATAGGTGTAGGCAAGGACTTCATGACCAAAACGCCAAAAGCAATGGCAACAAAAGCCAAAATAGACAAATGGGACCTAATCAAACTCCACAGCTTCTGCACAGCAAAAGAAACAGTCAGTAGAGTGAATCGGCAACCAACAGAATGGGAAAAAATTTTTGCAGCCTACCCATCTGACAAGGGGCTGATATCCAGAATTTACAAAGAACTAAAGCAGATCTACAAGAAAAAAACAAACAAGCCTATTCAAAAATGGGCGAAGGATATGAACAGATACT